TATATATATATATAAAATTTCTTATCTACTTTTCCTTACTTATTTAATAATTTTGTTTTTCATGTTTAATTTTGAGAGGACTGCTAAAATAAGTCTCTCGATAGGAGCTAATTTAGAAACGCGTTTGTCTCTAATAATATTTAAATTAACTAATAGAAATAAAAATAGAATCACTCGAGACATATATAAAATGTAAAATTCAAATTCTATATTTTTTAAATTGGCTATTTAAATTAATAAAGTTAATACTGTAACTCTCTTACTCTTGTAATGCAACAATGCAAAATATTAATTTATATATGTACATTTTTTCCCTCTACTCTTCATATATAGATTTACTAAACACAATGCATCGAAATTCTAACAAAGACCGTCGTTCGTAATAGAACAGTCATTTGATACGTAATAATTAATTGCATTATTCGTAATAGATACATGGTGTCGCATTATTTATTGTTAGATATGACAGAACTGTGTCAAGCGTTGATAATGTTAGCTGCACTATTAATTATCGAAAAGAATGTTTGTTCTAAACAATTTACACTTAACAGGTGTCTTGCTTCGAAGCCGCGCGGATAATGCTTTAATTTTGATTTGCGAATATGGTGCTTGAACAGAAAATTAGGGACAAGTTGTTAACCTAATTAATGCAGAAGATGCATAACGCGAATCACTTCGAGCGATATTTATCTCTTAGTTTTTTGATGATTATCAGAGAAAATATCATTTGTGCCACCGCCGATATGAAACGCGCCATTCCGTTTCGCGTGAAATGCGAGTCGCGAGGCATGATATTCTGATTTGGATAAATAATCTTTTTAACAGCGTACACGTGCCTGCCGTATAAATTTATAATTCCACGCAACGCTGTGGTGTAGCACGCAATGTGCCACAATGTCTGGATTCGGTTCAATAAAAACATTGCATGCGATACTTATTTTCCGCGGGCATAACTATTGTCTTTCTGTTTATACAGTACGCATTTCACGAAACTAATAGACGGAGAGATTATTGTTATTGTGGATGACGCGAAAGGATGTAAATTCACTCTTGCATCGCATAAATGTATATTTAAAGAAATTTTACAGTCTTTTCCTCTCCGTCTTTCTCTCTCTCTCTATCTCTATCATAAAAAATTCTATTTTTCTTTTAACGAATTAAATAGTTGCGATGAAAAAGGAACTTATTTAATAAAATATAATTTTTTTAAATAAGATATACTTTATATTTAATAAACATGTTTACAATGAATCTACATTTTTTATAATTTATGTACATTTATCGTTAGTTTGAGAGAATTTTGCGCAATTGAGTGCAAGTATGCGAGACTGATTAAAATCTCTTATTAGAAATTTAATCTCTTTTTTTATCTTGTATAAATTTAAAACTTTTATATCTTTGCCTTGGCCCTCTGTCTACATCTGATTTTTGTTTCGATATTGGAAATCTTTACTGTTCATCTTTCACGTCTTTCTCCCATTCTCATATTTTTCTTCCAACATTTTATTTTCATGGACAGATTCTTTTCTCGAGCCTTTAAACATTTGGAAAGTGGAAAGTGAAAGGCATACAATAAAATTATCAATAACATCAAGGTTTACTTTATTATACTATGTACTATAATATTTATAATTGAGTAGGTACTTGGAACAAAGTTGGACACAAAGTATGGTAAATGAATTATGGCACATGATATGTACAGTATGGAGGAATCTTTCTCTTTCCCCTTATCGTACATTGCGCGCAATTTGGTACGTTTGAGAAGCCGATAACGCATTGATACAAAAATTCATGAAAATTTTGCTATTACACGCATTTGCGATATGTAGAGTATGTTATTTGTTTCTTGTTTCATTTCGATAATATGCGAAACTATGAGGGGAGGTTAGAGATATTGGCTAACATTCGAGTTACGTGATACGCGCCATAAAATCAAAATCGTTCATTGTGGATGAGACCGTACAAAGGATAACGAGAATTTTTTACTTATGTGAATTATGCTAAGTATTTAGAGAAGCAAAATACAATTTAACTAACAAACTAATTGCTACATAATTTACAAATAGATTTACAATTCGTACAATATTTGTCGATTATGTACAGATTCTCGAAGGTGCCTACGAATGTAAGAGCTAGCCCAAGCGTCTGCCAAGCAAATAATTAAGAAGATAACATCAAATAGTTTGCTATGGGACACATGATTTATTTATACATAAACATAGCCTCGAAACATTGCTCCAAGTTGCACGCAACATATTTACATAGAAATTTCTACAATGTCAGACAATTAAACTAGTATCTTTTATGATATGTCTTTATTATATTTTATTATATCGTTTTCGCGATAGTTACAGTCTTACTCATAAATAGCGTTTCACCTTTACACTGATCGCGTTTAATTACAATTTATTAGAGATTAATGAGAATTTAATTCGCTGTGAGAAAAATTATGATTATGATTTGTCGATCGTTATTACACACATATAGATTCATATTCTGACATATCTGGAGTTATTATGAGACACGTTGAATGTGTTGTACGTAGACATAGTGTAAACATAAATATGCGTAGTACGATGTTACTTCTATTTCTATAAACGACGGTTTGCGCGCGATCCGCGCGAGTTTCTCAGATTTTCACCAGTCTGTTAAATGCGTTACGCATGTCCGTGAACGCGCTTGGTAAAGAGCGTAGAACGAATAGATGTAGAACGAAAGCGAAGTTCCTCTCCTTAATGGAAGATAAGTTTGCTCTACGTGTTTTCTTATGTTATCGTTATTGAACGCTATTTAAAATAGTTTTCAAAGAGAGTTCGTTTTCTATATTAAATATATACGCGTAAAAGTATCTTAACCGAACCGAAGAACGAGGAATTGCGACGACGTCGTCTCACAAAAACGCGGCGTATATTAGCTTTAAAAATCGTCGTGAGCGATTGCGATTATCAACTTGGGCAAATTCGATCGAACGATGGGGGGGGTGCTTCCCTCTCTCTC